TACATAGACAGACATTGTACATGTTTAGAGATTAAGAGAAAGTAAACATTTTGTAAACAGGTGGCAAATTAGTAATATTTTCACTGTAGTTATTCTATTGTCACCTCACCAAGTTATTTCGGACACACTCAACATAAACACATTTCACACACAGTTCACAATTAAATCATACATTCACACATGATAAGCCCATACACTGCTCAGCCTTGGGCACAATTGCAACAGAACTGTAATTGTCCCAGACCATCCACATTTCTGCTCTCTCTCTCTTCCTCTTTCTTCCTTCCACACACCTATTGACCAAAGATAAGAATTAGACATTTCTCCAGGATAGATGAGATCATGACTTACCTTTTTATCCAGAAAGAAAATCTCTTTGCAGAGCAAGTTACCTGCAAGACCTTAAGAAGTATTACCTGTCTGTATTACATTACTACAGCTTCATTCTTGTGCAACTCATTCATCTAGCAATCTTAATTAACAATATGTGTTTGCCTTATTCGTGGCTTACCCATCAATGTTTAAAAACAGAGGAGGAGTGAGCTATTTTTTCTGCTATTCTACTTGTTCCTTTAAACTCCTTTGCAGACATACATGTAGGAGCACATAATTTGCCCTGTTTGCTAATGTGAGAGACTTGATCTCAGAAGAATACAATTATCCAGCAGTTCATTCATGTTTCCATACTGTTGGACCAATTACAAGGTAGATTGAGAGGCAAGTTCTGGATTTTCAGATCCTCTTTAATCAGAATTTGGGACAGATATAAAAAATATTTCTATTCCAAAACTCCTCTCTGGATCTCCCCTATGGAAGCCAAACAGAGAAGGTTACTGGGCTGGACAACCTGGCCCACGTATGAAGATCTTTTAAAAAAGGGTTCAACGGTATTAAAATCTCAAGAAGAAATAAATCAGAGTTTCCCTAAAATCACATGGTTACATTACTTACAAATAAAGGAACAATATACACAAGATTTAAAACAAGATTTCCAAGTGAAAGAAGTTTTTTGGGACAATTTTTTAAAGACTGATACGAAATGTATAACTAAACTCTATGAAAAATTATTAGAATGGTCAACTGAGACGGAATTAGTAAAAAGCTGTATGGTAAAATGGGCAGAAAACTTTAAAAGACCAATAGCAATGTGCGACTGGGAACTAATGTGGAAGAGAAAACTTAAATACACCTATGCAACGGACTTAAAAGAAAATTGGTTGAAAATGTTTCATAGGTGGTATATGACTCCAGTAAAGCTTAACTGTATGTATAAGAATGTACCGAAAACTTGCTGGAAATGTAATGAACATGATGGGACCTTTTTTCACTTATGGTGGAGCTGTAAAGAATCCCAAAGATATTGGAAAAGTATTCACGAAGAAATGCAAATATTATTTAAAAAGAAATTCCCAAGAAAGGCTGAATATTACTTATTGGGAATTGTGGATGGAGATATAGAACTGGATGGTAATGAGGATATTTTGTTTATATATCTCACAACGGCCGCTAGAATCGTCTTCGCCAAAGTTTGGAAGCAGAAAGAAATACCAGAAAAGGTTAATTGGATCAATAAGATAAATGAAATAAAGGACATGGACAGATTAACTTTTTTATTAAAAGAAAATACAGGTATCCCACTTAAAGAGACTAACTGGTCGTTAGTCGAAGATTACATCAAAACACTATAGAATATTTTATAAACTGAATTGAGGAAATCTGGAGGATGAGCCATGGAACTCATCCCTTTTTTTTCTTTTCTCTTTTTTTTATATATATAGTAAAAGAAAGCTTTTGTTCGAGCTGAATCAGAAGGGAGTCCACCATCACCTTTTTTTTTGTATTTTTTGTATTTTTTATATATTTTTTATACTGTTTCCTGTTTTTTGTCTTTCGTATTTTTCATATTTTTTTTCTTCCTCTTTTTTTTTTCTTTCCCTTCTCGGTATTTTCCTACTTTCCTATCTTCTTATATTATTCCACCTCTTTCACTGTAATTATATAAAATTGAATAAAAATCTTTATGAAAAAAAAAAGACAGATATTGAACTTTAAACAATCCTCAATTTCTAGAGTGATTTTACTTTCAGGATTAACAGATCTCAATATAAAGAATTTAGCTCAATAAGTTCACCACATAGAGAAGATGCTTCTCTCTGTAGATCTGTACCCATTATCCATGGTAGATTGAGACTGGAAAATAGGAAGTAAGTACTTGAAAAAGGAGGACAGAGATGGTTTTAGGAGGTTACCATGACCCAAGGCAGGGGTAGATTCTTTTGAAGAAGGACTACCAAATCAGAGATATGTGCTCCTTAAGCTGGGCCAGAACTTTTTTTTTACATTACAGCTAACCAGAGGATGTTAATTCCTAGCAGATTGTAGTCCAAAAAGTAATTTTTCCAATTCTCTGTATGTGTATAATATTGTTTAGTTCTAGTCAGATATCAACCTGATACTTATTAGGTGCTCTCTCTCAAGTAGTGTCACTTACTAGATTGAAGTTTTGGCAAACTATGAAAACCAGAGTCACTTTTGTTTAGGCTGTGAATCTGCCTTGTGTGCGTTCAAAACCAATTGAATTAACCTACCACAAATAGTGAGTTCCATCACTCACAGCAGTCAATTTATTCAGTTGATTACATCATAATTGGCTTATCCAAACACCCTGCTGACTTCAGTCATCTGCTGGATCCGCGAAATCTAAGTGCAGTTCTTCCTTTTCTCAAATACCTCAACGAATACACCAACAAGAAGGAGCCAGATACAGTCATATAGTGGTTTGTCATTGTGGTTGCAACTTTCCCAAGAGTTAAGCAAGTTACACTTAGGAACAGGAGGATCTATGCTTTTGGCTAAATCTTCATCTGTGCTGGAGCTTGCAGCTGACCAGCCTAGCCAGATTATATGTTCTCCCTCTCCTTTGGGGTCATACCTAAATTCACCAATCATTTATGTCTAGGTTATCCAAGGTCCTGAGATATTTATGATGGAACTTAAGACCTAGATTTTACATGGGCATATCCTGATTATGTCATGAAGCATGCAATATTAAACATCATACAGACAAACCTGTACAGAATGTCATTTAAAAAGACCAAGTATAATAAAGAGAACATATGTACACACTTTCAAAGCAGTTGTCTTTCAAAGCAGTTCTCTTATCCAGAGATTCTTCCCCTTCTCCCTGAGAACTGATACAAAGGTTCCAGCCCCTGACACTCACTGCTAGACCCAGGACCTCATCACATGGGTCGTGGGACACTTTAGGTCAATTTCAAGGGCAGCCTCTCCTATACAATCCTAAAGGATAGCCTTTTCTTGTACAACACTTAGGTCCTCGGGGGGAGGCGCGGTTACTCCAACCAGCTAGAACCTGATTGGTGACCATCACCCAGAGGACCTTTTCATTGGCCACCCCAAGACTGTGGAATGACCTCCCAGAAGAGCTCCAACAGCTAAATGAGCTGTCAGCACTTAAAAGCTGTTGGAACTTAAAAGGCCTACCCGGACAGTTTTTAAACATGAATTTTAAGTGTGTATCCTTTATTTAATCTCTGTTTTGTGTATTTTAATACATATTTTATAGACATATGTTTTAATATGTATCTTTTATAGACATACATTTTAATATGTGTATTTGTGGCATTTTTGCAATGTTTATGTGTTTTAATTGTTTTATAACCCACCTTGAGCCACAAAGAGGCAGGTAAACATATTTTTTAAAAGAAAAAAAAAGAAATGCATGGAGCCCATCAGATGACATTTCCCTATTTCCAGCCATTATTTATTTATTTATTTCACACATTTGTAACCCTGAGTGGGACTCAGGCGGCTTCACAACAGGCAACCGTTAGATGCCAACACATAAATTATACATAACAGTTACAGTTACAAACAGTTAAAACATCAATTATTAAAAGATCAATTCAAAAATTATGCAAGTTCAAAATTATAATCCAAGATCAGTCCATTATTGGTCACATAAAATCACTCTCATTTTTGTTGCTGTACCTGCTGCAAGAATGCTTGATCCCACAACCATTTGTTTCATTTTCCTCTAAAGGACAGGAGGGAGGGGCTGACCTGAGAGGGCCCAGTCTCTCAACCCCACCAGTCGTGCTTGCGAGAATGGTGGGACTGAGAGCAAGGCCTTCCCCAACAATCATAACCTTCGAGATGGTTCATGGAGGAAGATACATTTGGACAGGTAAGCTGGGCCAGAAGTCTTTAGGGCTTTATAGGTTAAAACCAGCCATTATTTGTTGCCTTTCTTCCTTGAAATGGAGCTGAAGAGAGGTCTGAAAGGAAGGAGTTCAGAACATGAATGAATAATTTTGTTCTGAACTCCTGGTGCATGCCAGAAGGATTCCCCATTAGATGGTTTTGAATGTGGGCAACAACAGGCAAAAACCTGAAGAGAGAAACATGTGTGATAAGAAAACATGTGTGATAAGAAAACAGAACTTGAAACAGGGCGATTGGGAATTTAACGGTATGATTTCCTTTTCTAGACAGATGTCCCCCGATGTTTCTCAAGGTCCATGTGATTAGGTCCCTAGAGATGTAGAGATTCTGCCAATCTCAGTTTCTCTGGGTTTTAATTAAGTTTGACCAGTTTTACTATCTCAGCTGTTGCCTAGATCTTATACAAAGTTTAGCAGCTCAATCAAATGAAACACATTATCTATAACTCCCCTTTCCCTAAGAATGGGCTTCAAGGCAGCACCTTCTACTCTCCCTACCTGTGATTTACCTTCTAATTTCTTGCCCTTCATCTTGGCAAGGAGTAAATAGTTCTGACAATTGCATACATTTGCATTTTCTGCTACTTTCTGCCCCCAAGTCATCTAGTAAGCAGTTACTAAGTGGGCTGTAGATAAGGGTAAATATATGATAAGATCCTATGCAGAAAACAAATTACACAAATGCCTGCTTTAGTTATTTGGACTGAGCTTCCTTTCCTTAAATAGCTATTTACTAGTTGATCCAATTTGCTGTAGTTATTGGCTTGAAAAAGTATTGACAAAGCAGATAGAGTAAATGTGAAAATTGTTCTTATCCATTTGTCTTCTCAGTGCATCCTTCACCTCCTTGTTCCTCAAACTATAGATCAGAGGGTTGAGCATAGGAATGATGAAAGCATAAAACAAAGAGACAAATTTATTACGATTATCTGAAAGTTTGGAACTAGGCTGCAAATATATAAACAGGCAAGTTCCATAGAAAATAGTCACAGCAACCAAATGAGAGCTGCACGTGGAAAAGGCTTTTTGGCGACTCTCTGCTGATTTCATCTTGAACACCATGGAAAGGATGCAAGTGTAAGAGCTCAGTATGATCAAGAGAGAACCCAACAGGTTGGCTCCAGCACAAATGAAAACAAGCATTTCTGCCACAAATGTATCAGAGCATGAGAGCTTGAGGAGTGGGGGGATCTCACAAAAGAAATGGTTGATCTCATTAGACTGGCAGAAAGACAAAGTACCTACCATAGTGGTATGAATAATTGAGTTCAGGAAGCCACCTGCAAATGCTCCGCCTGCCATCTTGATACACTGAGTGTGGGACATGATAGATGTATACAGCAAAGGATTGCAGATGGCCACGTAACGGTCATAGGCCATTAGCCCAAAAAGGATGAATTCAGTAGTTGCAAAAGCCACGAAGAAATACATTTGGATGAAGCAGCCTGTGAAGGAAATGGGTCTCCTTTCTGAAAGAAAAATTTCCAAAGCCTTAGGAGTAATGCTGGAAGAGTAGCAAAAATCAAGAACAGCCAAATTACCAAGGAAAAAATACATGGGCGTGTGAAGCTGAGAATCCTTTCTGATCAGCAAAACGAGTCCCAGATTGCCCACCACGGTGATAATATAGATGATCAAAGACATTATGAAAATGGGAATCTTGAGTTCTGGCTGATCATCAAATCCAAGAAAAATAAATTCAGACACCACACTGGTATTTTCTATAGACATCTATATAACAGAAGTTCCCAGGAGATGTTTGTGGTGAACGAATCTGGACTGTTGATACTTTCAGAATAATAATAATAATATAGTTATACTATGTTTAGTAATGTGAAGTTCAGTCTTTGTTCACTGCATGCTCCCCTTAAATTGTAGACCAAATCATACTATTTGCTTTGTCTTCTTAACCTGTAACTAAAAAATAAAACACAGTTCAACATAAAGTCTAGGGTATTAAATGACATACAGACGCCTGTGATATTCCTAATATTTTACATATATGATTTAATACTAACAGTTGGCCCTGAAAATCCACAGATTCAATCAACCATGGCTCAAAAATATTCAGACAAAAAAATTCCTAAAAAGCAAACTTAGATTTTACCATGTGCCAAGCACTAAATGGCTGTGTTGGCATATCCTGCTTTAGCCTCCCACCATTTCACAGAACCTCAAGCTCTCTCTAGCATTCATTTGAGTTATTACTGTATATACTCGAGTATAAGCCTAGTTTTTCAGCACATGTTTTATGCTGGAAAAGGCCCCCTCAGCTTATACTTGAATGAAGGTCCTGGCAGAAAGGCATGAGGTTGAAAGGAGCCCTTTGCAGGGCTTCTACCAGCTGTATGCCTCCTCCCCTTTTGGCACAGAAACCCAGCTGGATCTGTGCCAAGAGAGGAGAAGAGAAAGGTCGCGGCCTCTCCTCTCTGGGTTGCTGTGCCAAGAGAAGAGGAGAAGCTGTATGCCTCAATTAATGTAATTTTATTGGTATCTCTTTTTATTTTTAAATTTACCAGTAGTTGCTGCATTTCTCACCCTAGGTTTATACTTGAGTCAATACGTTTTCCCAAATTTTTTTTTGTGGTAAAATTAGGTGCCTTGGCTTATATTTGGGTCAGCATATACTCGAGTACATATGGTATTTTACATAAGGGGCATGATTTTACTACACCATTGTATATGATCATCCCTGCCCCTTCCTAATTCTAGTGGATTTTGCTGTCCAGCATTGGATACTATTGCTATAGGGCTCTTAAACTGTTTCATATTTGTTAATTTTATTACTATACTCTTGAGTAAGAATTTTCACTTTATTTCTAGATGGACAAAGAAGACTAGGAAGGTGGTTGTCATTTTCTGGTGAAACAGGCACTACATATATCGACAGTTCCCACCTAAGGCAGTACACAGCAAGAGTTGCCTGAGTAGCCTAATCAGACAGTTGTCCATTGAGCTCCTGCTTCTTCCTAGAAAACAAAACAAAGCAAAACATAAATGTAGTCACTTCTTACAAAGTTGCCAGCTTTAATTAGTGATAATTGAACATATATCTTTGGACAGATTCAGCACACGCATATCTGGATTTAGTTGAGAGAGAAAAACAGGAGATATATTTGACAAAACCAGTACTGTTTAGTGGATATGAGAATAGATGGATATCTGTTCCCTTGCCCCACTGGTTTTCAAAAAATTCTGCAGAGAGCAAAGTACCAATAGATTTATGGAGACCTTAAGTCCAGCTTGTATGTAGGTGCTTGAGGCAGCAAATCCAAAGAACATGTGTATGCCACAAGGAAATAAATGTGAACTCTAACGAGTGCAAGTAATCAGCATATTTTATATCTCCTCTGGTGTTAGCCTACATCACTACTGTGTGCATATATGTGTGTGGGTACAAAAAGAGAGATTCACACACACATCACACACATGTATCTTTAATTCAGAGTGTGACTGTGCCATTGAGCATATAAGTTTCCCTGTTGATTCTACTAAGAAAGAGGGACCTGTCTATATCATTATTCCATCTGCACATTGCAGGGGGTACAGAATGCCAGCTCAAATGGTTCATTCAAAATGGGAAAATTGTCATTTTTCTGTTTATTACAAAAGCATGTGCATGAGTTTAAACAGTACAGAAGACACTTAAGCTACTGGAAATTTACCAGAATTCATGAATAAATGTCCCATTATGCTTTCATTATTGTCATGTAATACCGGTCTCTCACACACACTTTCCCAGCACACTTCCATTCAGGCACGTACATATTGTCAGGAAAAGAATGAGAAAGTTCACCTGACCAGCTGCAATCATAAATGAGCCATCTGAATGAGCAAGAAGAAAGTCAACAAATGGTTGAACAGTTTTGCAGCATCATCAAAGCAATTTCTTTTACACGTTAAAAGTACAGTACACATTTCTGTTTTCAAGGCAGTAAATCATCCACGAACCTTAGAGGGTGTTGATCTTCTTTGTGCCTAGGCTCTACTCACTTAACTGACTTTAAAAAGACTGTTTCTTTCTTATATTTCTTTTGCAGGTATTCATGAGGGAGCACTGCTCACTAATTTGAGAGACTTGATCCTTGAGGAATAAAAAGACTCGGAGGTTTTCTGTTACTTTATTATTGGCCAGAATGAAGACTATGAAGCACTTTCTAGATAGTCAACAGCTACCACTTTATCGTTAGAGCTTGCAGAACTTTCAAAGCAGTTCTCTTTCAAAGCAATTCTCTTACCCAGAGATTCTTCCCCTTCTCCCTGAGAACTGATACAAAGGTTCCAGCCCCTGACACTCAGTGCTAGACCTAGGACCTCATCACATGGGCCGTGGGACACTTTAGGTCAATTTCAAGGACAGCCTCTCCTATACAATCCTAAAGGATAGCCTTCTCTTTTACAAGACTTAGGTCCTCTGGGGGAGGGAGGGGGAGGTGTGGTTACTCCAACCAGCTAGAACCTGATTGGCTTCAAGTCAAGAATAAACAATGAACAATTTAAGACTTCAGTACCCCAAAATAACATCACCCTCAAGAAATAAAGACTAAGGACCTCTTCACACGGCCCTTTTGGAAAGTGCTGCTTTGCCAGCAAACGGAAAGATGCATGGGGTGGCTTGTGGTGCCCTGTCTGCCCTCCATTCTACTCCCATCATATGGTGGGGACAGGACAAGGTGTGTTAGCACCTTGCCCTCATCACATGGGAGAAAGGGTGGCAATGCGCATTGCCCTGCTACCCTTTCTCCCATTATATGGGGAAAAGGGAAGGAAAGTGCAGGTAGCCCCATTGGAGTTGTCCAAAACATATTTTTCTCCCCATGGTGGAGGAGGAAGCGCCATCTGGTGCTTCCCTTCCACTTTGGGAGGAATGTGAGCAGAGCCTGCCGTGCCTTCTCGTTTCTAGTTCATGTGTGGCATAGAGTGCCTACCTTGGATTCATGTTGCCATATTTATGGATATATCTGTGGATTGACTCTTGAGACCGTATCCGAAAGAATGCTGGAATCTTGGCTGTCTTAGAAATAATTTTTGGAACTTTGTTTCTGTTTTTTAGATTTGCTTATTTTTATATAATCTTCTCTAAATAAACTTTTACTTACTGAATAATCCGGACAGAGTGTGGTTTGTGGTGACAAGGAGTTTCAGGGCTCTAGTGCAACAGATATCTGGTGTAACAGGCAGAAGCAGGACCCCTGCCATACTTTCTCTGCATCTATAAAAACAGTTTAAAACACTCATTGTCAAAATATATTAACTATTAAATTGTTACATTAGAAATCTCTTTATATTAATTAAAGTGGTGTGCTGCCAAAATACTTTTGAAAAGTAATTTAATTAAAATAATAGAATGTGATAGACATTACTCAATTTTTTGAACAAGTTAATCAGTGAAGAGAAATAATTTCATTTTAATTATGCATTTTCAAGTTCTGTTTTTACGGTGGTAATAAATTTTGGTAAGCCATATAATTAAACTTGTTAAGAGATGAGCAACATTTCTCAGAATGCTCAGCATTCTTCTCATGTTACACAGCATAAAATGAAGGAATGTACAGGATATAATTTTTGCTAAATAATGACTGTGAAATGAAGCTCAAAGGTTTTTAAACCTCCAGTTTTTGTGTTTATTATAAAACAAATAAGCCTACAGTATTTTTCAGTGTGTGATGATATGCTATGTATTTGAACAGCAACTTTCAACAGCTGATTGGATTTGCAATCACAGCATATAGATATTTGCCAGTAAAATATCCATTAATATTGAAGTTCTCAGATTCTAATCTCTGTTGATATCAGCAATATCCAAAAAGGAATGTCATTTTACCATTTGAGTTTCCAGCCTTTCTATTCGTTGTCATGCCATATGTGGATGCTTACCATTTTGTCCTCACAAGCATCTATCTTAACATTAATTTTTATTTTAAAAAATCAAACCTATAATAATAAGTTTACTCTTATATCCTGCCTCCATCTCCCTGAAGGGACTCAGGGTGGCTTACATGGGGACAAAACCCAATATAAACAAAGGTTACAAATAACACAATTACAAACATATAACAGTAAAATATATTAAAAGAGTAAAACTAATGAAATGTAAAACATTATAAAACATAAACCATACATCAAACAACCAGTAGCTGGAAAAAAAATACAGACAAGCAAAAACATACATTGAAAAAGAAATTACACTAAACAAATATCCCACAATATCCTCTCACAAAAACAAAACTACAACAACTAGCAGAGCACAATCTAAATACATCATCCTAACCACCACACCCCCATATTAAACACATGCTACACATATATAGGTCAAAAACTGATCTATAAGCTTCATACTCTCTGCCTATTGATTTTAACTTCACAATTTTCTGTTCCTTTAAAATATTACTGTATAATAATACTCTTCCAAATCAGAAAACTAATAGTAGAAGTTTTTCCACATCTTTGATGTGGAAAAAGGTAACAAAGAAGTCCAGTCTTTCTTCAAATTGGTCAAGGATTTCTCCTTGATCAACATCACCCTCACAAGCATTTTTGAGGTGATGTTAAGAAATTGTGTGGCCCACAATGTCCAGTAAGCTTCATATCTAAGACACAGTTTGAAGGTAGGTCCTTTTTTTCACATTGTGAACATTCTATATACCCGTATCTGCTGAGAGATTGCTGAACATTTGCCATCAAACTATTTCACAGTTCTATATTTATAAAAATTTACTCAAAATGTCTTTTGTTTCTCTGTACAGTGTACAATGGAAGAGAAGAAGGATGGTGCTTGCTGGCTTAAAAGAGTGCCATTCTAGTTTAGAGCACTGTACTCTACTAGATTAAAAACAACAACAAATTCTGGAAGTTCTCTATGAAGTGTTTTCATTTCTGTTATATATATATAAAGGAGATGCAGGACAATCCCCATATTCATGAGATAGGTGTTTGTGGTTTCATTTACTTGTGTTTGACAAAATATTTCCTCTCTCTGCATTTTCTAGGTCCTCCAGAAGATTTTGTGATATGCATCTACCAGAAGTTGCACTGGAGGACTCAATGATGCCTAGACAGATGTCCTCTCTAGGCATTTCTAGGCCATCCAGTGCAACTCTATGCTATGCTTTTGCTGGAAATTGTTCATCTCATAAGGTTTTCTATTACCAATGGTTTTACATTTCCACATCAAGATCTGGAACAAATCTGTAATTCTTTTTAAAAAGATATTTTTATTTATGTTGTCATAATTCAATACATTTGTTATACATCATTTGTTTTAGAGCAGACACATAATATTTAGTACAATCTCTAATATATTAATTTTTGGCATCTCCTGTTATTTTCACGCTTTTACATATTTTCTATCCCTCAACACCGTGTAATTCTTTACATCTTATTTGGCAGAAGGAACTGGATTCCTTTTATATGGATAGAAGAAAAGGGATGTGTACATAGTAATAATGGGAATCAGGTTACATGAGTTCCAGCAGGTAGTACAATAGTTGTTTATAAAAGCTGTTTCTCTCTTTCCTTTCAAAAGAAAATGACCTGTTGCTAAACAATTCTAGCTTATCATTTCATTGCATACTTTTCTTTGAATTCCTCCTAAGGCATATTTCACTTCCTTGTTTCGCAGGCTATAGATCAAAGGATTCAGCATGGGGATAACAATGGTGTAGAACACGGACAAAAATTTGTCAACCACATCTTGGACAGAAGATCCCCCACTAGACCTGGCCCGGAAATGCAGAATGAGAATGGCTCCATGAAAGATTGTAACAGTAGCCAGGTGGGAGGTGCATGTGGAGAAAGCTTTGAGTCTACCTGCAGCAGATCCAATCCCAACAATATTGGTGAGGATATAAACATAAGAAACCAGGACACTTAGAAGTGTTGTTGCTTCTACAAGTCCAGCTACATAAAAAATCAAGAGCTCATTGATGTAGATATCATTACAAGAAAGCGACAGAAGTGCAGTGATGTCACAGTACAAATGATTGATCTCATTTGACTGACAAAATGAGAGTTGAAAGGTGAAGATGGTATGAAGAAGAGAATGCAAAAACCCCAGAATATATGATCCCACCAGAAGAAGAATACAGAGTCTAGGACACATAAGGATTTGGTACAATAATGGTTTACAGATCGCCACATAGCGATCATATGCCATGGCAGCAAGGAGAAAACACTCTGTGCTTCCCAGACCTATTACAAAATACATTTGCATAGCACATCCAGTAAAAGAAATTGACTTTTTCTCTACTAAGAGATTTACTAAGGTCTTACAGGTCACCACAGAAGAAAAGCAGACATCTAATAGAGAGAGGTTGCTAAGAAAGAAGTACATTGGGATGTGAAGGCGAGGACTGACAATTATTAGAGCAATCATTCCAAGGTTTGTCACCAAAGTAGTAAGATAGAAAGTTAGGAATACTAGAAAGATGATTATCTGCAGTACACGATTATTTGTTAAGCTGGCAAATACAAATTCATTGATTGGAGTGGTATTGTTTTCTTCTGTCATTGCATGCAGACCTTTTGTTTTTCTCAGATCTGCAAAATAAAGAAATGTGGGTCCTCAGGAAAATGCAGTTATATCTTTGTAGCACCTATAGCCAACATAAGGACTATATTTCTACCATCTGTGAAAAAGGCCACTCCTTACCTTGAGATTAGAAATATTTGTGAAAGATTCGTAACAGTTAATATAGTGCAGTGGTGGCATGAAGGACTAGTACTTGAGACAACCAGATTCTTCTCCATATGGAGACATTAAACCAGAGATCCTTAATTTGTGATCTGTGCATGTCTATGTCACACTGCACAGAAGGGATCCAGTATTTGATTTTAGCAGAACCATGAATAGGGTGCAAAAATGGGAGATTTTGGCTGTATATCTACATTTTACGTCACATTAACTGCCATGGCTTACTGCAATGGAAATTTGTGATCTGTAGTTTTGTGAGATATTTACTGTCAGAGAGCTCTGGTGCTACCACAAACTATACATCTCAGGATTCCCTAGGATGGAGCCATGGCAGTAGATCTGGTGTCAAACTGTTATAATTTGGAAGCATGGGTGGCCTATTTGGGGTTTTTTAAATGCAGTTTTTGAGGAGTAGTGGCCCCATCACTTTCATCATATTCTCAAGCAGGTATGCAATCCAAAGGAAGGTTAACAACTACTGCATTAAGTTCACCATGTGATCTCTAGTCGTCTGTTAGACTTCATTCAGGCAGCTATTAGGTGGGCAAGTTGGGAAAAACATGCATTTCCTTGAAGTCTTTAGAATAAATGCAGGAAACAAATGCAGCAAAGAAATAAGGAGCATATAAAAATCCAATCTCTTCTCATCTATTAGGATATATCCATACCATCTGCTGAGAAGAACAACTTCTTCAGCCCCCCAGTCAGTGAAAGAGTCCACAGCTCTCACCATCTCTAGACAACACTCCAATATATCGTGAGGGTATCTTATTAGGAGTGATGATTTGATATCTTTTCCTATGCACATAGATGCCTTTGGACATTTCGAGAAGAAAGCAAGATAGGAACAGGAATCCTGGAGAAGCAGTGATCTCAGGTCAGTCATAGGGGTAGAAATGAAGGGGTACTCTCAAATATAGCATAACCCCCCTTTTCCTTCTTTTGGGAGCTCAGGGAATTGTATCTTCATGCCTTGAAATGCTTTCACATAATCTTCTCTATCACTAAGCAACAGCAGCACATGTCTCTTTTGCCCATTGAACTCAGATTACAGCAAGTGGAGTAGGATCAAAAAGTGAAATGCAAAGAGAAAACAACATTTAATAGCAACTGGAAAAATGGAATAATGGAGAACTAATCAGAACTGTCTCTGACAGACATATCAGAACTCTTGAAGATTATACATATACTGTATAAATTCCTAATAACATTAACAAGACCTGCCCAACAGTCACATTGTGCATGTCATGAACAGAATTCTGACCAAACCCTGCTAGATTGCAATGCAAAAGAGATTAATTTGTAACCAGGGCAGTGGTAAAGGTAATGAAAGCTGGACTGAGAGAACAGGCTGATTAGCCAAAACACATTATTCTTCTGATTTCCCTCCCCTTCCCCATTTTAGGTCAAACAAATAATAAAAATAATTGTCTGTATATGTTTTTTCCCCCTGCACAATCCAGTTGAAATGACTTACAATTAGCTCCTACTCCTTCCTTGGAGAACTCCTTACACAGATTTGGGATAATATAGAGTGGACCAGGGATACTGCTAATGGGAAAAAATTTCATCATGTAAAACAGAGTAGCCAATGCAGAGTAGTTGGTCACTAATTCACTCATCAAAACAGATATTGAAAGGATAACATTTACATATTTTGTTATATATGTCTGCATGCTCATATATGGATGTGTATATCCAAATTTAGAAATCTTGTTGTTGTTGTTGTTGTTGTTGCTTATTCGTTCAGTCGCTTCTGACTGTTTGTGACCTCACGGACCAGCCCACACCAGAGCTCCCTATTGGCTGTGGCCACCACCAGCTCCTTCAAAGTCAAGCCAGTCACTTCAAGGATACTATCCATCCATCTTGCCCTTGGTCTGCCCTCTTCCCTTTTCCTTCCATTTTCCACAGCATCATTGTCTTCTCCAAGCTTTCCTGTCTTCTCATCATGTGGCTAAAGTGCTTCATCTTTGCCTCTAATATCCTTCCATCCAGAAATCTTTACCTAATTTTAAAACAAATATGACATATTTCATGATAGTGGACAGTACTAACCAAATGATCCAGGTACTTACTTTGGATCGGCAACTTCAAGATCCTTCATTTGCTCCTTATCGGTCTTTATCTTTAAATCATACTTGATCGGGACATCGCTTCTAAAAGATGAAACGGAGAACTATCTTCTGCAAAACAAGATACATGGATATACTCTAGTGTGGAATGCTGATTAGCCAAGCAGCCACTGCTCTCTTCTGAGAGTAGCTTGTTGTCTTAAAAAACACAATTACTTTAGAAAAATAAAGACGTTGTCATCAATATTTAAATATATAATCCTTAAGCATACAAATCTGTATGAATAAAAAAAGAGATAATAAACAACAAACAAGGGGGTGAACTGCCAACAGCATAGTTGAGCATAAGATCCGTTTCAAAATAAACGTGAGCTGCAGAAGGTGGGAAGAAAGAACCACATGATTATTGTTCTTCTCCAAATCCATATGTCCATACTTACTCATGATGGAAAATGAAATGCAAGATGATCAGAGCAAATCAATATAGAGCAGAACTTAATTCTAGAGATGGCAACTGGCAACAATGTTGGTCTGTTGAAGCAAACAAGGCCCAGAAAGAATAATGTAAGAGTGAACACCTTTACTAAAGCATTCATTAGCACTAATTCGCTTCATCAAAAGGACATGATATTACTCTAAAAAACTGGTACAATTTATATATTGTCATGCAGTTGTTTCCCTGAAACATCAGTCACATTTCTCAGGGCTCTGTGTCCTTGGAGGACTTCACAGCATCCATCGTAATCCCTTGGGAAGCATGTATGCTCAATTACTCAAAACCATTATGGCACTGCCGCTTCCCCTTAAGAAACAAGGAAATACTATGTGAGGAAACAAGAAGAAGGGGATGAAGGCAAACTTGTACTTAAAAGCCAATATACTTGATACCATGTCTGTCAAACTACTGAGAATGTTACAGAATGAGTGACTGGTACTGCCATGTATTGATTGAGACAGTTGGTTCTTCTACTTCAGTATTATCTTAACTAGCTGGGAGTGATTCTTTGGGAGTTCATATAGTGGTCTTTCCCAGGGCTATGCAAAGGTACCATAGATCAACCATCTGTTCTTCCATCAACTCAGTTTCTAGCAATGTGGCATTAGCTCTTATCAACACTATGTCAAGTAGGAGTTTAGAGGAGAGATTTCTCTGGCAGATCCTAAAGCAGGGAAATGTTTTCACCTATTACATGAGATGCCTCCCATGTTGCAGTGATGGCAGCGTATGCCGCTTGCTCTCCCTTTAGCCACAGAGCCCCTCCAGAAATCGATGTATGTAGTGTAATGGGCTCCATGGGAAAGGGGGAGAGCAAGCAGGCAAATTCGACTATATGATGAGGCTGTAAGAGTCCTCAGTGGGCCTCATATGATAGAAAATATGATAAACTCTAACAACAATGCATAACAAATGAGATAGTATGAAGATACAAATCTGAGGTTTAAAATATGTTGGTATCATTTGATTCAGATGTGGAAGAAACCCAAAGCTGAAGTAGAATCAGTTCCCTTCAGACCAGATCTACTGTCTTCCAAAGTGGAGCAATCTTTCCTTCAAAACTAATGAAGTTGAAACTGGGGTCCATATGAAGCTCAAGATATTCAGGCACTTTGCTTCCAGTGTCAATTAAAATCTTGTTTTTTGAAAATGCTGCAGATGAAGGAGAGGGGAATTTGAGGGTGATGTTGGGGTTGATTTAATGATGGGTCCACCTGTCAGTGAAGAAAAGGTGAATTGAAAAACACTTGGGTGGGGTTAATTTACAAACTTTATTGAATCTTGGTAAATCCAACATAAAACCAGATGAATGATATGTGAGAACTTATATATCATCAGATCAACTATGCCTGGTCTTGCAAGCCAGTTTCACTATGCCATGCACCCTGACTCCAAGGAATTGCATGTAAGATGACCAGTAGTCATAGGAGGGGTTGGTCAGCTAGGCCAAAAAACACAATTCTTCCATTTGGCAAAACTTGTAGTCACCCGAACTCACCATTGACTCAAGCCCCCCTCCTGAATCCTCTTGTGATCTTTTTCCTACTACTTTCAGGGCCCCACACTCTCGTTCCACATCTTCATCCTCTAGCCTACTTATTCAAAAATTAGAGCAGTGACATTGTTACAAAATCAATACAAAGCTGAAGTTAAAACTGACATAACAATGAAATCAAAGGCAAACACTTTATTGAAGTCTTGTTATTTTTATAGGAATAGATGGATCAGCTGACACTATTCATTTCCGAGCACACCCATGCATTTCCCCAAAGTTTTTAATGGTAAATTCAAAAATTGATTCAATTAGATTAAGTTTTGGAAAAATGGGAAATCCATTGGATTTCTTTCATTGATTTCTTTCTTGCTACCTAAAGTACTGGCCAAGATGCTGAAGAAAGCTTTATTCCCATTTAGGAAAACACAGACCACACAATAATGCTATGGTTAGGAGAAGGTGGGGCATCGAGAGCAGCATATGTCTGCAGTTTTGCAAGCAGATGAAATAGAGAGATGCCAATAATAATAATTTATTTATTTGACCAGTCATATGAACATTTCAAAATACAACACGTGTAAAAGACAAAAAGGAGAGGACATCAGCTGACCTTCTATTTACAGTCAGAATTTTCCTGTTTCTTCTTTCAGGAAGATAGAGAGATGTCATTTTTCCAGATCCTTACTGAAGGGGAAGGACACACTAATATGAGTTATTTTAGGCTAACTTAGAGGCATCCTTTATTTTATTTTTTTTAGAATTGTGCATCTTGGTTTCAAGGACTTTTCTTCCTGAAAAACAAACTGTCATGGCTAGGGTTTCACCCAGCATGTCTCTTCCTCCTTGGCATAGAAAAGTTAAAAGATTTTTGAGGGGAAGGAATTTGAAAGAAGCCAATGAATGATCAGTGTTGATGTCTAGTCTGGGAAAATAATGTAAACATCTAGTCAGAAATGTTAGTTGGATAGAAATTATCCCAGTACATGTGAAATCAAAGTGAACTGGTATCTATATTAAACTGTAGAATTACTGTAATCAAGTGTCTATTCAATTCAGATCCTGGTCTATCGGAGTGTGGGACAGAAAAACAACTCTTTCATTAATGTTGAATCTTTGATTCACCAGCACGGAATTACTGGGGAATGAAATTCTCTTTTTGTGGATCCAGGAAAGGAGCTCTTCCTTCTACCTCCAGCCTGCATCTAGATACTACTTTGGTGCCTCTCCCATCTTTATCTGACCAGTACTGAGGGTGTTGCCTTTTTGAAGCCTTTAGGATGCACCACCAACTTCTACTCACATATCATTACATCTCCGTATGCCATGCAGTTGATATGCCATGTATCTGATATATTATAGCAAAGAAAATTTCCCCCCTTCTATTAAGGACTAACTCTAGTTGCTATTCCTTGCTAAAGTAGATTCATCAATGGGATTTATTCACTTCTTGATGCAATTGAATGTAAACTCAAGTAAACTTAATGTAAACTTAAGCATTGGCGGTGTTGGTGGTGGTGGTGGTGGTGGTGGTGGGAGATGACGCAAATAAAAGCAGTGGTATTCTGAAAGTTCTATTGGTATATCAACCATTCATATGTTATTGTTTTTTAAACTGTCATGTTGGTCTCCCTATTAAAAGTTTCATTGCATACTCATTTTATCACACACCTTTCTTTGAATATTTTTGAGAGCATTCTTCACCTCTTTATTTCTCAGGCTATATATCAAGGGATTCAACATAGGAATGACAATGGTGTAGAACACAGACAGAATTTTGTCACCCACATCTTGGACAGGAAAGCCACTGCTAGATTTGGGCCGGAAATGTAGAATGAGAATGGCCCCGTGGAAAATGGTGACCACAGTCAGGTGTGATGTGCAAGTGGAGAAGGCTTTGAGTCTGTCTGAGGCTGAGCTGATCCTCACTACATTAACAAGAATATATGAATAAGAAATGAGGACACTGAGGATAGTAATGACCTCTACAAGCCCAGCCACATAAAAGATCAGGAGTTCATTGATGTAGGTATCAGAAGAAGCAATTGTTAAGAGTGCAGTGATGTCACAGAAGAAATGATTGATCACATTGGATCCAGAGAATGACAGTCTGAAGGTGAATATTGTATGAAGTAGAGAATGCAAAAGCCCAAGAAAATATGACAGTGCTACCAAAAGAATACATCGTCTAGGAGACATGAGGATTGGGTAAAGCAATGGCTTACAGATGGCTGCATAGCGATCATATGCCATTGCAGCCAGAAGAAAACATTCTGTGCTCCCCAGGCCAACAAAAAAGTACATTTGCACTGCACATCCAGTAAAGGAAATTGACTTTTTATATGTTAGGAAGTTTGTCAGTGCTTTTGGAGCAAACACAGAAGAGAAGCATACGTCAAGGAAAGATAGGCTGCTGAGAAAGAAGTACATTGGAGTATGGAGTTGGGGACAGGTCCTTATTAAGCTGATCATTCCTAGATTTTCAACCAATGTAACTAAATAAATAGCTAGGAAAACAAAAAACAAAATGAACTGCTGTGTAGGATTTCTTGTTAATCCTAGAAATACAAACTCCTTGGGTTTTGTAGTGATGTTTTCTTCAAACATTACATCCAGATTATTTTCCCAGACCTGCAAAACAGCATACTTTGTTAAATCTACAGTTTCTTTATTCAGTAAACAATCCATATTTGGAGTTCAATAATATCACCTTAGGAGACAGCGGCTAGCTCAAAATCTTGAAAAGGAACTTTTTGGACAACAATTCTCACAATTGCCACAATATGGGCATAGTTGAATGAAGGATTCATACTGAGAGTAATCCAAGAAGTAACTTTTCTGAATTCTAAACTATCTTGCATAGCTTTACAAGGGAGTTTGACAGATCTTTGAAGAACATTCTTTTTGGCTTCCAGAGAAATATTATCATCACTTGACACACTCTGACATGAAAACCATCAGAATTTTAACATATGTTTTTAAAGCTTAGATCCTTTTCTAATTTGTTTGTCTGTATAATAATTATTTTATCCTAGTTTGTTTAAAGAAATGTGTTCTTTAATCATATACCAGGCAAACAGTCTGCTTGATTGTATTGTACTGCTTACATATTTTGAAAGTCTCCATTTAAATTTCTCAAGTGTTAATTCATTCTACTAAGTTAGTCCCCAAAATGCTGAACACAGAGAAGTTTGTTTAGTGAAAACTGTCACTACACCCAAATGAGACATTGTGGATACTGTATTATAAGTTTCATAATTTACAAAAACAAACAAACAAAACAAAACAAAAAACACCTACAACGTCGAAGTCTAAATAATTGACAAGTTAAGGTGTAATTGGTTAACAGTATACAAAAAAGGAAAACAGAAGGGAGGGCTGAAGATTTGATCTAACCAATGTTATCTGTTCATAATCCATACCTAGAGATCAGGCTGCAAGGGTGATTTACAAGTTATAATTGTGCAAACCTTCAAAGGATGGTCCACTGCATAGCTAACCTTGGGATCAAATCCGGTGATACTTGAATATATATATATATATATATATATATATATATATATATATGCCGTCCTCTGCCACGTGTTGCTGTGGCCCACTTGGGGGTTCTGCATGGGAGGCTTGGCCCAATTCTATCATTGGTGGGGTTCAGAATGTTTTGTGATTGGAGGTGAACTATAAATCCCAGCAACTACAACTCCCAAATGTCAAGATTCTATTTTCCCCAAACTCCACCAGTGTTCACATTTGGGCATATTGAGTATTTTTGTAGAGTTTGGTCCAGATCCATCATTGTTTGAGTCCACAGTGATCTCTGGATGTAGGTGAACGACAACTCCAAAACCAAAGGACACTGCCCACCAAACCCTTCCAGTATTTTCTGTTGGTCATGGAAGAACTGTGTACCAAGTTTAGTTCAATTCCATCTTTGGTGGGGTTCAGAATTCTCTTTGATTGTAGGTGAACTATAAATCCTAGCAACTACAACTCCCAAATGACAAAATCATTTTTTTTAGTGAAGGACATACATTGGGTTGTCCAAATTTGGTGTCAATTCATCCATACATTGGGTTGTCCAAATTTGGTGTCAATTCATGCAGTGGGGGATTACTCCAAATCAGACCTGATCCACCTGAACAGACTACCCAAAAGCCCTAGGACACTCCTGAGTTTCAAACAAACTTTGTAGTATCCCATGGCTTTGCCTAAAGTGGGGCAAAGTTATATTAAAACAAACAAAAAATACCCCAGTGATGCATCCTTGGTAAGGCCAAGTTTTTTGGTCTGTGTAGACAAGTCCCAGGTCTCTGAAATATCAAAAAGAAATCACCTTGTTATGTTCATTATGTCCATTTCAGATGAAAAAGAATAGTGAGAAAGATTGTCTAGTGAAATAACACTAGAGAAATGTATGTATATAAAGACACCCCCCCACACACACACACACACAATAATATGGATGTTTTTTGGAAAGCACTGTAGCCTTGTTTAGGAATCTGGCTATGTCACCCTCTCCGACTTGTACACTTTTCTATATTAATTATATTTCTGTCATGGAAAGCATGCTTCTACTGTCTGTGACTTTGAATAAGGTGGGGAGGGGAGGATCAATGAGAATATTTTTCTAATATCTGTAAAACAATGTTAATAGAAATTACACTAGAATTTTTCACATGGTACTTTTTTCTTATTGACTACTGCATATTGTAAGCCTTACATCTCAGTAAATAAAACTGATCAGTAAATGACTAAACTTTTGGATGATCACTAAACATACTCTCATGATAAAATAGAAGAACTATTAGTATTTATGTTACGACTGCTACTGCCAGATATCCTCAGACAACATGGGTTATGATCATGGTAGTCAGGGGATTCTTGGAGTTTTCCAAAAAACATAAGTTGCCAGGGCATTGCTTTATTGATACAGGTTAAGCATCTCTAGTCTGGGATTCAAAAATTAAAAACAATACAAAATGCAAAGTTGTCCGTAAAGGTAGCTGAGATAGCAACACCATTGCTTTCTGTTGGTTCAATGTACACAAACTTTTTTTCATGCACAAAACTATTGAAAATGTATAAAATGACTTTCATGCTATGTCTATAAGGCATATATGAAACATAAATTAATTTTGTGTTTAAACTTGGGTTCTATCTCAAAGATTTGCATATGCATTATGGATGTATATGCAAATACAGGTATTCTAAAATCTGAAAGAAATTCATAACCCCAAACACTTCTGGCCCCAATCATTGCAGGAAAAGGATATTCAATCTGTAGTTAAACTATACTCAGAGCTAAAAAAAAAAATCCATATAGATCACTTTTTTTTGTTTCATATACTGTTATACCAAAACAACCAAGCATAGTGTAAGATTCACTTTTACATACCTTAGGAAACAATCTTGGTTCATTTTTCACATGTGCATCTGTGAAGCTCTGTCAGAGTTGTAGAAAAAGGGACAGGCAAAAACAATGAACTTGCATTTGAAATAACTTTCCTAGGTAACTGGCTGTTTAGTATGTGCTGTGGAAATTTATATGCCAGTGCAGGGCTCTCCTGAGATCACACTGTCTGTACTTTGTCAACACCAGTTAACTCTCTTGGCCAAGTGTCAAAATGAGGTGGTCTCCTTTGACCAAGTATCAATTATAGTGGTTTTACACAATATAGACACAGTCTAAGTGTTATAGACAACTTCTCAGTCAAGAGTATTTTTAAAACACCCTTGTCATTGAGAACACGGTGAAAAGATGGAATTCCTATATTTCATCCATATATTATCATATTTGGGGCAAACAAAGAATGATGAAGTGTTTCAACTGAGACTAAATCACAAGAACAAACTATTTTGGGATATTCCACTTTTTTAGATCTCTTATCCAAAAGAGCTGATGGCAACACATTATATCTTGCAGCCGCCAAAGCTCTCCTCTGGGTGGGATTAATCAAAATGCAAAGATATACTGCCATCACTACATGCTCACATGGAATTAATGATGTAGTGGGGGAACAAGTTGTTTTGCTGCAAGAAAGTCAAGATCCAAAAGCCTGCTATTTACTACTTTTTGTGAACATTAAGAGAGGTTCCAAAGTCAGGCCAATGGCCTTTATTTTGTCTAAACATCAAAGAGTACAATTCTGAAATAAAATAAGATGGAACCGGATGCAATTGTTTATACTATCATCCTGTGCTTCCCAAGCTCAGATGGCCCAGGGACTCGGAATGCTGTTTACTATTCCCTCCCATTTTATATGTTATGGTTTCTGGGTACGATGTGGGGCCTATCAGTAGGGTGTTGCCTGAAGTGATGTCATCTGGGGTACAGGGCAACCAGGGAAGGGAGATGGAAAGAAAGGGGTAATCCTTCCTCTTCCCCACCTCCCCTTATCACCCTGTCACACTGGCGGACATCACTGCAGGCGATGACCAGAAGGACACATGCCACACCTGGAAACTGCTGCAACATGGGGAACGAGAGGGGATAGAAACATTCTAGTGGCACTGAACCAGGTTTGGCGCTGCTGGGCAGTCAGGACTCCCACCTGCCTCTGATGTAGGTGTGGAAAGGGCCTGGATGTAACCCATCTTGGGACCAATATGTTTGAGGCCATGCCAGATTGGCCCCAAAATACTGGGTAAGTATAAATCCATCTTGAGTGCCTATTATTTTTTGGCAATCCTTGAAAATAGTGCTGATAACTAATAATTGTCCATGTGCTTGATATGTTCCTACATCTCTAAAAGATAGGTTTTAAAAATGTATGGACATAATGCTTTTCAAAACCTGAACAGAACTGGCCAGACCTGGAATACTTGTGCCATTTCAGCTTAAGTTTCCTGTCCGACATACTCACTGAATGTAGTGAGTGAGAAAGCATCTTTACAATCTCTTTCCCCCCAATCCTTACCTCAGAATAAGCAGGGTAGACTGACATTATATCAGGCAAACTCTGCTGGGCCATGTCAAAAGTTGGCATTATTTTCCCCATCTCCTGCCTCATTATTTCTCTGAAGGTATCTTCCAGGCTGGCTGTCCAGCTCTAGAAGAGCTAATTCAGCAATATCTGTTAGACTGTAGAGTTGCAGGTAAGGGAAAATTCAAATCACAATAATGTTAAATTAAACTAGAGATGTTTAATCATGCTGATCTTATTAACTTTTCCCCCGCAGTAATCGAATGTAAGATAGAAAAATATCTTTAACATGATTATACAGGCTACAATGAACTCTTTTTCAATGTTGTAGCCTTTTTAAATGCATTTTTGGTAATATATTTGAAAAAAAGGAAAAATGCCATACCATACAGTTCATTCACAGGTTTTAGAAAAATGTAACGACCCTGAACATCACATTATGGTTTGAATCCTGTTGTTAATCTCCAATGAAAAGAGACACACTGAATCTGTGGGATGCATATAAGTGTAGCCTTAAATTATGATTGATCCAATCAGTCTCCTTTAGATGCATATATATTTTGCTATAGCATATACCTTTGCCCTTAATTACTAACAATCATATAAGTAATATCTTTTCCTCTTAATGCAAAATGGGGTACTACTGATAGATCTGAGGGAATGCAGATTATACGAAACATTATGAATCACGCAGAGGTGTAGCCAGTGCCATATGTGGGAGGGGGGGGGGAGCTAAAGGCAAATGCAGTCATTTTGACATGTACTCCC